AGCATCAACACTGGACAATAATTCAAGGCGACAAACAATGCACTGCCAATCTCTACAAGGACGACATTTTTGAGAGTTGTAGAGTATGTCACATGTCATGTCCCCTAAACAAGACCAAATCAATATCTGTAAAGGCCATTCCGAGCACTAGTTCATAACAACACTTCGACAACAACATCTATAGGACCGTCCGCTGGCCTATTCTCTGTCGAAACTGAGAACATTATTATCGTTAAATTAGGTAATAAACGTCCCGTCTACTACATAAATACATGAACCCGTAACTAATTTTAAAAAATCCGACTTGTGTCATAATAATTGACTAGATATTTTGGGACTAAATATACTTACCCAATGATTTTATAACATTGACAATTTTTTGTCAAAATGCTAACCGATTCTTTATTCAGTATTTTCAACAAACCTGGTCATAATGTATTTGAAACTGACCTCAACTCGGTTCGAAACGTAAAAAAGTTTAAAAAATATTTTAATGTCAGTTTTTGTTTTCGGGAAACCAATACAATTAAATTAATAATACATTAATCTTTCAAATCGTTTATAATTGTAGTGTGATCCTTGTCACATTGCAACTTAAGTTCAGTTGTATTGTATGCCTGTGGAGATCAGAGCCCAATATCTCAAAGAAAAGTACCAAGTACCAAGCCAATATTTTCTTATCAGATCTATCGAAAACCCTCGTTGATATCTGAATCTATAATTAAACTTACTAAATGTATGCGTTCGGGTAGGGATCCAAAATCTCAAGAAAACATGGACAGATTTGCACTGGTCCGTCACAGTTTTTAACTTTTTTTTGTGTCACCATATTATCATTAGAACGATCGCCACATCGGAATCTTGTTGCAAAAGTAGATTTTGCTAGGCCAATGAACGATTTTTAAATTTAATTGCATCATGTCATTGGGACATGAAATTATTATAAATGTCGGAAATCTGCGACATAGCGCTTCATATGTTGGTGTGAAGTGGAGTTTAATTTTTAATTATCCCCAATGTTACAAAAAATCACAAATATTTTTTTAAAAATTAATTAAAAAATTTCTTGATTTAAAACATGAATGGAAAATATCAGATACTTTTCAAACACATTTAATCCGTTGTCGATTTCAGCTGTGGGACACATCAAGCGCACAAATTCCTTCGCAGACGTTCCTCCACATACCAGCGCGTAGCTCTGCAAGCCGTTGGATTTTTCAGCGGCGCAGTGAATGCTCCATTAGCGTGATCGCAATCGGTCAGTACAGCACTGGCCACCGCTTCGACGTCACGCGATCCCTTCGACCGATAGCAGTGGGTGGGTGCGCATTACCATTGGTCAAAAACGGTTCTCTCTTGGTTTCTTCTGCCAAGCCATGATATTGCCAGCACAATATCATCAGGCGCGCGATATTTCCTTCATGTTTGTTCTATTATTTCCATCCATAACACACAAAATTAAATATGACTGTGTTTTTTCACAAATTTATCTCCGAATGATGATATAAAAATATCAAAAAATTAGTATTTTTCCGATATCTTGCAAAATAATCAGGCTTTCGTTTTGAGATTTTGGGAAAATGACTTTTTAAATTACACTAAACATTGCCTCTATTCAAAATTGAATGAAGATTGGGGGAATTTTTAGCCCCTTTATCCTGCTACAGCCTTTAAAAGAATACTTTTTGTGAATTTTATTCTTGTGGGACTTCATTGACGCAAGTTGTGATGTGTGCAGCGTAAACTTAATGAAATCGCGTGCATTATTAATTAATTAATCCTAAAAAAGGAAGATTGTATTGAAATATATAAAGTTGTTTACATCTAAATTTTGTTGTTGAATAGTTGTATCGGAATAAATGGATGTTTTTCAACGGATAAATGGATCGTTTTATGTATCGCAAAAGCGGGCGCCTCTTATCGTCAGTTTCGTTTTGACACCACTGGCATTTCTGGGATCGTCTCTGTCACATTCATAGGGACCATAGGTCTAATTTTAAATATAATGCGACGCGCAAAATGTGTTCGTAAGATGATATCAAATGGCCGAATGTAGTATGCTACGAGTCTATTTCGAAAAGGTGAAATATACAAAGAGACAATATAGCGCGCCACCATATGTCTCCGCTGAGACATCTTGCTTGTGAGACTGCTCGCAACATAAATTATGTTGGTAGCTCGAGCAGCAGCTTGAAAACGTTAATTGCGTACCCACTATAATCATAATAGTAGACGTTTCCTTCACTTGTTTTCCTATGATCTGGTTCCTACCACATAAATGCAATTCTTAATAGGAGGCCCCGATTCGATTTGGTGAGAAGAGAGTTACCTGGCGCACTCTGTAATGACCCTGACATGGGTGGAAGCTAAGTACCTTAAATTTGAATTTCCCTCCCTCAACAGAGTAGCAGGCATCAAACATACTCACCCTACAGTTATGAAACCCGCAATGCATGCAAATTCAATTTCCGCGCCAGAAAAACGCGCGGGGCCCATCGTGCTCGGGAGAACCTGCCGTTGCGTGTCTCCGACCTTGCCCGCCACTGCGCCTGGCGCGCCGTCACGATCTGCAACCCGCCTTGCACGTGTGTACTGCGGGTGGCAGGGTCTCTACGCGCATGCGCGCGCGCGCTACCGCAACGCTCGCGTGTATGGTGGCGTGCGTGAGTAGGCGTGCGGCACGCAGTGCGTGTCAGCCCTTTTAGGTGGGACATTCCTGTCGCTTACCCTGTTGATTTCTCAGCTGTCTGTATCGATTTCGACAGGAAGGGGATGTAGCCCAGTTATTTTCACAGGTTGAATTCTCACATGCTAAAGGTGGGAGGAGGAGATTGAATTTGAGGTAATAAAACAGATCATTATTACTTGCTCAATATATTTTCAACATAACATATTATTTTTTCACTTTTTATTGACAAATTGTTTGTTTTCTAGTGAAGGATATCAAACCTTCAGTTGTCGCTTGTACGTCACATACATATTATATACAAGCAGTAAACGAACATTTTTATCTGAACTTATAGAATATTTTTATTCAAATGTAAATAATTAACATTCAAAATTTCAAAATTTTTTATGAGGTTTTGAAACAAAAATTGATTTTTTGTGCACATAATGTATTTTAAATGCATATTTTCCATGTAATTAAACTTGGTGTATATTCTTTCTTGATAATTGTACTTTGCATCAATAAAAATTAAATTATTTTATCAAATATTACATGATAAAATTGAATTGATTGATTGAATCAAGTTTGGAATTTTTAAAAGGTTGAAAACATGTTTTGAACATGGGAATAAATGTGCTTTGTGAATGAGATTAAATATGGGTAATATATACTGGCAAAAACATTTCAAATTATATCAATTTGAAATTATATTTAATAGTTTTTAAGTATGTACTAACTACGGGGAATGTAGTGAAAAATCTAGTTTTGACGATTTTAAAACGAACGTCTTTATTTAATGTTCTTACTAAATCTCTAGTTGGACTACTCTGAATTAAAACTAAATCACAACTTAGAACAGGCCTTCAGTGGCACAGAAGAAGGAGAATACTAAATTACTAAATGTAATGTGATTATTGCTTTCTAGAATAATTTATGAAAGAACGGCTACAAGCGACTTCAAATACAAAATATTCACATTAGCGCTCTCGATTTTGCTAGGATTGCCAGCACCCAGTGGCCTTTCCCTTGGCATAACATACAGTGCTCTTCGCCGCTGCCTGTACACTTGATGAAATTACATTTTAATCTGTCAGACTATGAGTGAAATCATGCATTTGTAGATATATATATATTTATAATTAAATATTACAATAAAATGCTACGTTGAAATATGTGCATGAAGTATACATGCATTTCTTGTGCAAAAAAAATCAACGACTGCCCCTATGCAAACCTATCATCAACATATTGACAAGTAGAACGCCTGGTATTAACACTCGTATGCTGTTAATTATATAGTGTTGATAGACCCTACTTTACGGAACTTACTATAATTATATGCAAAGTCTTTCATCTTATTTCTTAAATATGTAGTTAAAATTTGATAATTTAAATTTGAATGTAATTGTTTTTTAAAAAAATGGATAAGATTCTAAATAAAGTTCAATTTGATATAAAACACTGTACAGTGTTTATGAGAGGTTCGTATGACTGTCACATCAACATACTAACCAAATTTGATGCTGTGAAGAAAATGCTTAGTAACTGATAATCTATATTTCTAATTTACAATGAACACAAAGGTAAAAATACATCCCCTGGTCATATGAAACGTGTCTGTGGTGTTGTTAGGTTAACAGTAAGCTTATCAGGAAAAAATCCTGAAAAATTTAAACAGTTTCGATTGTGACTGAAAAATTAAAGTACTTGAATGTGATATTCTGCCTATTCTTATATGCGCGTATAATCTGTATTGTTGCACTTAGTACGTCTCTGCTTATGACACAAATGACGTCATGTGACAGAAAGTGGTTAAGGAAAAGATCGCGCGACTGGCGTATGTGCTCTTCTCAGGAAGCGTTTTGACAGAAAACCTTTTGTGATATTCTTGCAATATAAAGTGCTGTTATACTGTGTATATAGAATTGAATTGAATTGAATTGAATTGAATTTGCCTTATTTTACGTGGCGAGACTCGGGCCATCAGGCCCGCTCTTCCGTCTGACCACGCAAATTTCGCTACGCTCCTTTCACCAACTAGGAGAGAAAGGAGGTATTTCTTGGGCGAGAAACAGGCGATTTGAATTTAGCTCAGAGGCGTCATTTAGGCTTGAGGATCTTTTACATGCAAGTAAATCTACGAACATGGGACAGCCGGCTTTACTTCCCCTCCGAAGGAAGTACGCTAACCGTTACACCATCGCCGCCGCTATACACCATATATACCTATATACACCATACTGTGGTATTTCAGAGTTCATTAAGACTGTTTGTGTTCAAATAGTGTGTTACAGTGTTACACAAGAACGTTCTATTGTTTGTGAGCAGTGTCCGTCCGACCATTTTTGTTTTGATAAGTAGAATATTTGTGGCTACAAGCCATAAGTATAATCTAAATTCATAATGATATTAATGAATTTACGTTAAGCTCTTTACTCGTTAGAACAATTATTAAAGCACAATTTAATGACAACACATTTATATTGCTCATCAATAAATCATACCATTGCTACATTAAATGCCACCTTAAACAGTATACATAAGTATGGATCTCCAAAGAGTTCTTAGCGTGGCGATAGTGTACGTGTAAGAGGAGATGCTTTGGCTGCCATAAACACCAGGTCTCAGTGCATTCAAAGCAAATCGGCGCGTCCATACTTGAACTTCCCGCGAACCAACTGCGCAAAGAAAACAACATCTGAATCAGACGCTGAATTAGAAAAGAAAAGAACAAGCAAAAGGCATTCGTTAACAGGTATATATTTATATGAATAAACGTGTATATATGGGTGACTCGGGCCCTGATGGGGTATACTGAGGCTCATAGGTATACACCATTAAATACCAGGAAAAGAAAAGCCCTCCTAATGGGAGCCTTTTGTAGTAAGGCTGAGTCATCAAGTCCCTTCCCAAACCTCCTCGTGGTGGCCTGGATTCTCTGCGGTGAGGAAGACCTACAGAGTAACGAAAAGGTGGGACCAAAGGCGCGAGTTCTCGGCGCCTTAAAACGGGAACCGTGAGCTAAGGGAAGGAAACCCTGACAGAAAACAACAAGGGGGGAGGGGCCTCCATAGTGTGGTGAAACCAACCTTCCTAAGGATGACAACCCTGAAAAAAAAAAACATCTACCTCCACGATTAAGCATGCGGGTACGCAGGGCTAACATCCCGGCTCCATGAAAAAAACTTTAGTTCAAAGCGATTTAAATATGCCTCGGACCCGACCCAAATTAAATTTACGCACAAAGGCTACGAAAACGGAAATGAAAATTGGAAACATGGAATATACAAGGCCTACGAACAAAGCAGACGGAGGTCATCTCAGAAATTGAAAAAAATGAACACTGGACATAATTATACTTACCGGAAACGAAGAAAAAAGGGACGGGGAAGAAATTTTGAATGGATATCTTCATATTTGGAGTGGTGTACCCAAAAGTTTAGAGCAAGCAAGTGGAGTCTCTTTCCTTATTAAACGTAAATTCGCAACAAATCTATTAAACAGATAGAGAATATTAATGAAGGATACTAAGAAAGTGTAGACATGAAACGTTTTTTACTCGCACGGAGGAGTGCATAACAATTTAGGCAATCTCTCGTCTTTTT